CACCAAAATAAAAAAGGGTACGTCGAATCCTTTTCATAAAGTCGTTCAAAATGCTGCTGCTCAAAGGGCTATTCAGGTTTTAATAATATAATACTTTGAAATGGAAGGCACTGTTGGGAATTGCAAAGTGCTTTATATATAGTAAGGAATGAAAGTAAGAACACATTCTTTCATTGGTATTCATCTGAAATGACCAATTGTTTTTAATCTTGCATATAGACCCAGGCCCTGATTGAACAAAGCACTTAAACATGTATGTAATTTTAAGTGATTTAATTGGCACTGCTGACATGCCTAGTTATTCACAAGTTGAAGTGCTTTGCTGAATCCAGACCCTAATGATCTTACCATCCCCCCTTGAAGTATATAGTGTCTGTCTATGCTTATTCAATATTTTTTACATGGAATTTTTGAAGTTAATAGGTAAAGGTTTGTCTGTAAATTTTATGCATAAATCAGAAAGCAAATTTCTCTATTTCTGGGATGTGCTGGCCGCCGCTTCCCGCAGTTCCCATTGGCCGGGAACGGCGAACCGCGGCCACTGGGAGCTGCGGGGGGCCATGCCTGCAGACGGTCAACGTAAACAAAATGTCTTGCGGCCCGCCAGCAGATTACCTTGATGGGCCGTGTGCAGGAGGTTGCCGACCCTTGCTCTATTTGGTTGCTTTTCCTGAAGGAGAAAGCCCTTTTGCAGTATAGGGCTTTTATCTTAAATATTTGAATAAATGAGAAAACATATAGTATAGTGTTTAAAGAAAAGGCCATAATATACAAATGTGATATCAAAACGACTTTGTTCATATGTTTATCGTGTATGTGTGACTCACTTGCTATTTTAAAATTTTACTGTAATCTTTAATTTTGCTTCTGGTGGAGTTGACAATCTTATGTGCTTTAGCCATATCTGAAGCTTGTATTGTATTTCAGAGCAAGTGGAAAAACTTGTTCATGAAAAGCTTGCTTATTCATTTGCTTATCAGATAATCCATTTGTTGTGCTGTCGTAAGTAGGTATGTTTGACATACCAGAATGCAGTTCAGACCAGTGAGGGGCTGTTTCATCCCTGTACTACAACCTTTACTCCTGGGGGAATTCTGCACCACTGCACATGCTCAGAATTTATGTCCCCTGCAGACTTCTTTGCTTCCCCGCAGAAAAAATGACTTTCTGACAAGGAAGCAAAGGGAAGCCACAAGAGCAGTTATGCGACCCTCCTCAGCAGTATGTTTCTGGTGCCCAGGGCAGCCGGCAGCTAAATCACTGTGGGGCAGGGGCTGGGACTGGGGAAGACCCGGCTGGTGGCTCCTACCCTGCACCGGGGTCAGCTGCTAGTTCCGGCTGGGCTAGGGAGGACAGGACTTCCTCTTCCCCTGCATGGCATCTGGGGCTTTGTCAGACCCACTCCCAGATTTCTCCCTCAGCTGTAGGAAGCTCTTCAAACTCCTCCCCGCGCCCTCCACCCTCCCCGGTGCTTCCTGCATCCATACCCCATCGGTCCTCAGCTGCAGGGGGAGGGATCACTGTACAGGGAGCTGCTCCCCCATCCACCCCAACCCCCACTGCATCCAGAACCCCTCATACCCAGACCCTCACCCCTTGCACCCATAACCCCCCCCAACGAGCCCCCCCCCCCCGTACCACCCTGACGAGCCACCCACACCCGGATCCTCACCGTACCGAACCCCAGCCAGCTGCACCTGGATCCCCACCTCACTGAGCCCCACTCCCCCAGAATCTGGACCCCACCGCTGAGCTTCTCATACCCCTCCTGCTGATGTCTGTCCCCCCGTTGAGCCCCAGCCACCTTCACCTGGACCCCTCTGCTGAGTCCCATTACTGTTGCACCCAGAACCCCCCCAAGAAGCCTCTGTGCATCCAGATTCTGCTCCCCTCTTCCCCGCACCCGGACCCCACTGAGCCACCCGCACCCAGATTGCTCCACACAGAACCTTCTCAATCCACACCTGGATCCCCCCACACTAAGCCCTTCCACAGTTGGATCCTGCCTTGCTGAGCCTGCTTGTCCACACCTGGTGCACTTCGCATGGAGGGGCAGGGCCCTGGGGTGTTTCTGGGGCAGGCCCGGTCCTTGTGCTGTGTCAGGGTTGGGTGCAGCCTCACCATGGAGTCTGTCCCCCGGGTGGGAGCTGTACAGTGATCTCCCACCTCTGTGCAGCCAGTGGCCTGTGCTCCTCAATGCCATGCTGGAGCCTCCATATTTATTTGACAAATAAAATTTGCAGAATTTTGCAGAATTTTAAAATATTGTATGCAGAATTTTTATTTTTTTGGTGCAGAATTTTTATTTTTTTGGTGCAGAATGCCCTCAGGAGTAAACATTGGGAGCCTCGCAATACCTTGCTTATAGTAGCTCCCACCTAGGCTGCTCACAAACAGCCTTCCAGCATGCAGGTCACACCATGAGTCTCTGTTCAGCTGCAGCCTGCCAGCCACACTTGGGTTTCACTCTGGTTCTTACCAACCTTAGTTATACTGCAGGGTGACCCCAACACACTCCCAGTCCTGGATTTCTCCCCCCTAAATGTATGCCTTGTACTGCACAGCCCTCTCCTGAACAGTCCACGTTAATTCTGTCATTCCTTTAAGGAATAATACACACAAGCTTACCACCTTAAATGGAGTTACTCAGACACTTCTACTTAAATACTGCATTAGCTTAATCAAGTTTATTAACTACAAAGAGAGCGTTTTAAGTGAGTAAGAGCAATGAGGCGTAAAAGTCAGAAATGGTTACAAGAAAATAAAGATAAAAATGCTTTCTGGTGCCTAGCTTAAGAGATTTAAAAATGTTATTAAAGCTAATGTTAAAATTATACAATACACAGGTTGCGAAAAGAGTGACTGTACATCTGGGTATAGTGCTTGGATTATCCACAAATACAAAGTTTGTTTTTAAAAGTCATATGGTACATATAGTACAATATCAACAGTAACCCAGATTTAAGTGAATAAATTTAAGAATACAGGTTAGATATTAGATTCAAAGCAAAATTTCTTACCACATGTTTCCAACAGCATTACTGACCAACTTCCAGGTGAGGATCCCTCCCCCAGAGTCCAATGGCTGCTTCTTTTGTCTTCTCAGGTGTAAAGAGGGAGTTGGCCAGGGAGGGAGAGGAGGGGAGCTTTGGAGTGCTTGCCCCTCCTTTTTATAGTTTTAGTCCCTCTTTGAAAAGCATTTCCAGCTGAGAACCGAGAGACTGGGGGTCTGATGGACCAGGGACACCTCATGCTGTTTCTTTTCTAAGATGCAGCTTTCTTTGTCCTTGTCCCCCTTTCTTGCCAAAGGATGGTCACTGGATAGGGGATGGCCCATCAGCTTTGTTGACACCTGGCTGGGGCGTCTGCTTGCCCTTTGTCTTTGAGAAATTGGTTTAGCTACTCCCCAGATTTATCTGGGAAACACACTTAAGTCATGATTTCATCTTATGTATATCACTTTACACACAATGTTGCTAGATGCATTTTACAATGATATTACTGATCAGCAAGTTAGGAGTTTTCAAATGATACCTCACAAGGCATGCCTTGTACAAAGATTATCACAGTAGTGTGTAGGGTGTGAATACAGGGGTGCATTGCATCACAATATGTCAGAACATAGAAGGGTTTTGATGAAGCAACTTTATGGTGCTACAGCTAGTGTTGTCAGTGATGTAGAATTTTCATTGCAAAA